TTGTTGACTGACGTAGTCTTTTGACTCTGAAGTTGACTACCGCTAAGGTTGTCGAAAAGTCAGTCAACAACAACAAAAACAGTCCATCTCAGGACTATATCACCCTGGACGTAATTTGCATATAATTAATATTCGATATACCACATCCTCTGCGACGTAAATTCTAAACATTTTTTTTATTATTGATTATATTTTAATTCATTAAGATACAAATTTAGTAATATATATAATCTTCACGTCTATTTGGTTTCGAGATACGCTCTCACCGCAGTTTCAAAGTATCGTGAATCTTTCAATGCATAACGTGGTCCGTATATTACAAACTTATTATCTGTCTTCTTAAGCCGTGTTTTCGAAATTTTTCCCTGTATAATCAAGAGGAGATAATGTTCTGGCCACACCCCGTGTCAGCCACCATCTTTATTTTTCGTCTATTAATATTTCTTGCACAAACTTGCACTTCTTCGATGAATTATCTACATTTCTATCCCGACTCTGTTGCAGGACTGAACGAATCTTATCGTTCTTATTTTACTTATAATGAAATGCCTTTCTACTATGTTCACGGATTTCTCTCTCTTTTCCTTTTTGTTCTGTCGTTCTACATACTCGAGCAAAACGTCCTATCTTTTTACATTTATTGTGCTTTTTGTCTCTCACTCGGAATTTTGCAGGTTTATGATCTGTATGACCAAATCTGTAGCATGAAGTTTTTTGCTTAGGCTCACGCATTTAACATGCTCTGGCAATAATTGCCTTCTTGTTCGGCCAGAAATCCTGCTTCATTGATTGCACCCTCCTTATTTCTTGCAATTTTTTTACAGCTTTGGCAATATCTAAGTCATCGTTCTCTAACAAATGTTTTTTGAAATGTCTAGAATATCTATTTTCAAATATTTGACCAGCAAAATTTCATCTTTCAGTTCACCAAGCTCACATGTTTTGATCAATTCGCGTTATTTTGTTACGTCAATATCTAGGGGTTGGTCTGAATATTGCTGTCACTTTCTGAATCGATGTCTTTCAGCAACTACGCTGCGTTTTGCAAGGACGGCTCTAGAACACTAATTGAGGGGTGCATTCATATATTCAGTTGTGGGCGAGTGGTTTCTTTTTAAAGTGATTTGGTTTTCTAAAGAAGTAAGTTGGGCACAACTGAATATATTAACACCCTCCCCCCAATTAACCTTCTAGCGCCGTCCCTTGTGTTTAGGTGAAAATGCTCTTTCAGTGTTATTCGTACTGCTTTCAAGTAATTTTTCTATCGGGAAAGAGTACTGATAATTCTTTGGACTGATGATCCTAGGCAATGGAGCGTCGTTGCTAGTTGTTGTCTATTTGACTACTTCACAAGCTCAAGAGCTGCAGCATAGATATCAACTGTATTCATGTCTTCAATTTTGTGTATTGATCAGCTGCACCCGTATTAAATTTCTTTGACGGTGTGAGATATTCGTTACCAATGTTGTGTTCGTCGGTTACCTCTCATGACTGTCCAAGTGGACTGTCCACCTTTATAAAAATCATGCCTATATATTTACTAACTTCCATATAATTAATATTCAATATGCTATATGTCTCATGAACATGCGAAGTTAGCTTACGAAAATTCAAAAAAGCATTTTCAACAATTAGATTTGCACGTCTTAGCCAGTACTTAAAAAGTCTATGCTCTGGTGTCTTATAACGTACATTGTAAATATGGTTTCATAATGTTAAGTGTCAATGGAAAAACATCATCGGGAACACTGGCATGAAACAACTTTTTACTTTGGTAAGGAAGTGAAGCTCACTAGGTAATATTTATTTCAATTTTTTCTAAATTTTGTGTAAAATTAAATGATTTGTAAACTCTACCATAGGGAGAATCTAGCATTTAGCGTGAAAGATGCACTCCAGCATCAAAGGCGCGAGCCTACCATGTGGTCTGGAAGATCGTGCAAATTTTGACATTTAGAAGCTCGGAAACGCGATTTCCCGTGTATTAAAGGTGAACTATCATGAGACAATCATTTGAAATGGCTTTGACAAAGATGTACGTGATAACTAATTAGCTGAAAAATTCGTTTCCAAAAAATTTTGGGGACGTGCGAGTGGAAAAAAATTAACTTGAAATCATTAAATATTTAGACGAATCATGAAAACCAAACCACAATTTTTTCTCTTTAACTCTGGACTAATTGCTTCTCTTTAAATGCTTCATTTCACAATCATTAATTGTTTCAATCAGGAGCAACAAGGCTTCCAATGTACTTGATGACATTGTAAAGTATATGAAGAGACTTTGAAGATCACCGAACTGCATATCTTTCACAAGATTTGCATACTCTCCTTGTTCTAATTTTTACTATATAATAGGGCAAATGCAAAATTGAATTACTTTTTATTTTCTCTGCTTTTCTAGTACTTTTTTGTTTGAATTTTATCCAAGAAAACAGTATTTTTGCTGTTTCTTGCTGCCAATTTTTCACACAATTTATAATCTGATACTCTCTAATTTGTAACCAACTTTGCATTCGTGCAAAGAGATGTAAAACGCAACGTAGGATTAACCCAGTGATAGACGTGGTATATGATGAGGGCCATGCTCTTGGTGCTTTACTCTGACACACCAATTTTTTTCAAAACCACACCCATTTCTCACTGGAACATTTCCTTTTACGAGACTTGCAAATTTAGATTCAACAAATTTAGGGGTCTCATAGCCCCCTGCTTGGCAGTTGAGCAAAGAAAAAATATGCAAAACCTGATGCTTGTAATATTGCCGAGTTGTTGCGCAGAGCTGTTATATTATCCTGTTCATACTTTTGACCAATATCATAGCCATGCCAGTAATACAAGCAGCTTTGGCGATAAGAATGGAGGACTGCATATCATAATCCAACAAATTATGTGATTACTATTTCCATTCGTGATTATATATACACTGCGCTGCATATAACTTGGTTAGTCAATCTGTTTAAAGTTGCTTTCTAGCTGCTTTTTCCTCCAAGGATCGTATTGCTTTTTTGCCTCAACAGATCTGTTGAAAGTTTGAAATGATAAACTTTCAAGGAAGAAGACTTTAAACTCTCTCACTCATCTGCAATAGTCTCTTGTTAGCATGCACAGTTGTACCAAATGCAACAGTAAAAGAACTAAACAAAATTTTTCATTAGTGACACTATGGTGGAGCTGGCTGATGAAATTAAATAGAACGCTTAAGTTCAGGAAGAGTGAATCTAGAGAATTTGCCAAAAACATAAACTGCCTGAAAACAGCTATAAGCAAAAAAACTAAAAAAACTCTGAAAATTTTAAGGGAAAATGCGGGAAAATTCATAGTCGCTGTTCAAAAACAAACCTAAGCAAGTGAAGTTTTTGAGGCAACGTCGACGCTAACCGTCGGTTTTGACTGGCACGAGAAGAGTGCATGATAGAACTAGACATTTGGCGTTTTCCCTACTGTCGATAACGCGATGGCAGCAAGTTTGGCGTCACATGTTAAACGTCAGTTGAAATATGCATTGTAAACCTAATTTTCATTATAATTTTAATACCGTTATGATTTATGTGTAATACGGAGCATTTTATTTACGTGGGTGTTCACGAATTTTCTCAGGTTTAGATCATAACAATGTCAACTATCGAGAAAAACTCAATATAACAAATTAAGTAAGGTATTAATTACTTGATGGCTGATGATGAAATACTGTTATTTTGTGTTTTTAAGTCCACTAAATCACACCTATGATAACATAATACAGCAAATTCATTTAGCTGAGTGCAGTATGTGTCGTTACTAACAAAATTTCGAAATAACAATGTTAAAAATTGCAAAATATTCGCATTTTGTATAGACCAATGAAAAGAGTGATGCCCATGACATTATATTCGCAAGAGAGATATCGGTTTTCCTTTGTATGAAAATCGAATTGGAAGTCCTGAGAGAGGAAAGTATGGGATGAAATCGCAGGAAATCTTAGTACACTGGATACTCCAGAATTCCATGTGTCCAAACGCTCATTGAGAGAACGCCTAAACTTAGTGCTTAACAGACTCAAAGCAAAGGTTAAAGAAGAATATCTAGCAAGTGGTATAAGCCATGATGATGATGAAATTGATTCAATGCCGGAGGAAATTTTTGATAAATAAGAAGAGTAGATGTTGAATCCTCCTTGTGATTTTAAAAAAAGGCAAATTGATCAAGAGAAAGCCACTACTAAGGAAATGAGAAAACAAGCCATGGAAACTGTTGGTGTCACCAAAACAGGTTAGATAATAGTGCTAATGAAGAAACAGTTAAAGAAAAAGGACTGGAAGGGAAGTTATAGAGTTCTTAAGTGAAAAAGCAAAGGATGACAAATCACTAAAGAATGGGAAACTGAGCTTTTACAGCATCAGCAGGTTCATAGCTAAGCCCTCTGACTCTTCTGGACAAATTTTCACAAAGATAAGAAAGTGTATGTTAATTTATCTGTTAATTTATTTGGGATTGTGCTTGTTAAATTCAACTGCTGAGTATTTTAAAAGAAGAATGATTGTTTTTTGATATACAATGTTTGCAAAGTTAGAAGTTATAATATGTTTAATATAAAAGGATTTACAAATGTGACAAGTTAAAATGAAGCTGTGATTTTACTTCATGTAGCAGTGCTTCACTTTGTTTTTTACATCTTTGTTTACAACTAATCGCTAAAACATTTTTCAAAGGAAGGTGGTTGTAAACCAAAGTGGTCAGCAGTTTCATTACTGTATAGGCATGCTAGAGCATTTCTTAAGATTGCGCATAAAATGTACATTATTCCAACAATGTTCATACCAATTTTAAGATTTTTCTTAAAGTCCAGGAATTTGAAGTAATTGATGATATCGCCAAATAACCAGTCAGCTGATACTCTTGAAGCACTCATTTTAGTATTAAATAACTTCATTCGATTGGTAATATTTGGTCCTCTAAATGATGCCTACAAATTTATTCTTAAGGGGTACACTAGGTCTCCATACACACACATTAGCTCTCTAAGCTTGATCTTGCAATGTTGGCAAAATACCAGATTCAGCTAGCATACCCGAGTCATACCTTATTCCTTCTGCAATAAGGTGATAGTGATTGACAATGGTCAGCAACCCAGCATTTATTATTTCATGCAAAATATCTGGCTACAACTTGTGTGGACAAAAAAATCTTACCAACTATTCCATATAGGTGTGCTATCATTTCATTTGGAGTGACTACTGTATGAAATTTCAGTGCATGTACTTTCTTGTGGCTATTGTAAGGCACTCTTTGATTTTTTCTTGGCCCACTAACGGGGTGAATTGTTTAATCAATAAAATATTTTGGTAATGTAGCTCCTTTTCGTTGAAAATCCTCAGCATAGACTTCTAAATGATGAGGACGGAGAGGATGGTTATTCCACTCAGTAATGCGGTGAGAATATACATCATAATTATAGTTCATGACATGATTTGTTATCATACACAACTCAGGAACTGGTCTACCAAATAACAGTGTCAGGTTGCCGTATCTACAGCTCTACAGGGGTAGGCAAAGCGGTTAAACAGCCCACAAAGTGCTTCTAAGCCATCTGGAACTCTTCTTTGGGACAATTTAAACAATGGTGGATTATTTAAAGCAGTTGTTAAAGCATGTAAATCTCTTTTTTCGAAACGAAAATTGGCTTTACATTCAGCTTCTTCTAGCTCCTCAAAATAAAATCTTGATCTATTTTCGTAGCTAAAATTTGGGTTTTTCAACCTGTAACTATCATAGAGTAAAACAAATTCGCATTCTGTAATTGCTTCATTAGCGTAAAAAAGTGTTAAAACATAGCGAATGTTTCTGAACGCCGTAATTTTAATCTTTCTTATTCAAGTAAAACTGCCGTGTGATGGATAGATTTTGTTTTGCTTAACAATTTGTTTATTCGCGCTAAAACGCCGGTCTCTGCTTAGTATCACGCAGATAATTGACTTCGCCCTCACTTTGAAAACTGAACTTGCTTAAGTTCCCTAAACATGTATTCGCCGTCACGATGATGCCGAAGGAGAACATGAACTGTTGCATACTCCAGGCGACAGAATTTGTACAGGGACGTTCGCGGTAATTGTCAACAGCACTTCAGTAAATTGAAGAAACAAATGGGGTTGGTAGTCATAAAATGGTTCTAATTTTAGATTCTAGTAAAGACTCAAGGAGGACTTGCCTATAAAGCTAAAAATCTGCCACGGACCTCAAGTAATGTTAATAAGGCCATGATGCAAAGTGTGTACAGATTTTGCACCAATAAATTTGAAAATTGCATGGAAATTGTGATTTCCAAATGAAAAGAAGCGGGGCCTTTCAAGCATGTACACCAGTATAATAGCATGCAAGTAATATTTAAACGTATTCGTTTTAGTATATATTTTCAGTAAAATTATTGATCTTACCTAATTGATATTCACAAAATAATGCAGTTTTGATAATTTGGTGGTTTTCCGCCGTATGAGGCCCAAGAAAATCGTTTGATTTTAAATCACGGGTAACGGCATCTCTTTTGTCTTTGTCACTTAATCTAACTAAAGTTGCGCCATCCAATTTTTGACAATTATTCTTCGCGTTTTTTATCGTTCGATTACGAGACGTAGGATAATAACAGCTTTTTTGATATGGTATCCATTTGGGGGGACAATAAACTGCATTTCCTTTCCACATAGCTTAAAAAATTGAAAAAGATTATCACAGCGTTATTTCATATTACTACTTTTAAAAGATCATCGATACACTCTGTATAATAATGCTGAAATATACCCTTTAGGATAATAATTCAAAGCCGATTTTTATGCTCAAACAACTTTGTTAAAAAGAGAGACACATTAAAAAGAGAAACACAATAAGTATTAAAAATTGCTTGTTTTGTTAGCACACCTACCGTGGTTTTCTAATTGATACGGAGAAATCATAACTTTTTGTTCTGGGATTACTACATCTGAACTATTAATTTTGAGGCAAACAATCAACTCATGACAGCCTTTGCCAATAGGGTATTTTTTGAATACCTGAATTATTAGATTCTTTAACAAGAACTTGACTTCCTATGCTCAAATTAGAGTAAGTTGTCTGCTCAAAATCTTCCATGATAATATTTTGCTTATTGATTTGAATCGATAAAATAAATCCAGGGACGGGACTTGATTTTGTTGAATTCGAAGTCTTTCTAGAGGATAAACCAGGATCATAGAAGGCTGTGATTCTACCATAGTCGCCTCGCCGTATTAATGACTTGTAGACTCTTGAAAATCGTGTGATCCATGCAGTACCACCTAAAAACAGTATATTTCTATATAAATATAGCCTTGATATTCTGAAACTTAAATAGTGGAACTTACACACCGTCTTACTCCGCTGCATGCATGAAATATATGATGTTGAAAAAATTTAACATAAAGCTACGTAAATTTTCAATACTGTTATTTAAAAAAATATCATTTTTAACTGTTTTAGTTAAAAATAAAACTCACCTTGCAAGTAGCTAATGCAGGTTTCAATAGATAACTTAATCTCATCAATGGCAAGATACCAGTGTTGTTTCTTTGAAAGGCCAGTAACATTAAAAACAAGCTGTGAAATAAAATAACAAATTGAAACTCATTAGTGGCATTTTTTGCAGGTTTGAGTTTTTATAGACTCTGGGACTGTATTTTGAAAGGCTGATATAATAGAAAAATATAGTGTTGCTCAACGTTAATCAATGTTACTCATGTTTACGTCTTCTTAAACTGTCTAACTTGTAACTGTTGTAAAAAAGACAGAATTTAACATCAACGCACATATATGTATATAGGTATACCTATAAAAGAAATTGTCAAAAAATGGTACTCGGACTTTTCGTATAATCATGTAATACCTTTGACTTTGTGTAGGCAGAAATAAGAGGCATTTCAGCAAATACCCAATGATCCAAATTGTCATTACGACTGTGATCAAGAACATGTGTGTTGCCATGAAGTTGCTGTGACGTTGTAAAGCTTGCTGCTTTCCAAAGTTTAAACCAGAACGACATGCAATGAAAACGAGCGGTTTTTTCTTCGTTTAATGTGATCTCAAGCCTTCCTGATGAAATCAGTCGCAGATAGTTTGCTAAAATTTTGTTAAATCAAATTCATTATATGTCGTTCATTTTACACGTGTGATATTTATTAGAAAATATTAACAATTAATTGACTTGTTCATAGGGTTTTCTCACGAATAAATATTCAGAACTCACACCAAAATAAGAAAAAAAAGCCGGTACAATCTTTCAAATGAGTGAGGAAATACAATCAATGATCACAAGATCTTTATATTTTCTGTGTGAATTTTTTTGGTGAAGTAAACTAGAGAATTTTGGCCAAAAATCACTTTTTAAGACTCTATTAACACTTTACTATTCCTAACAAAAGTTTTATTCCTGTGAAAATTGGTTATCACTGCACTCCAAAAATAAGTAGCTAATTTGTATGCACAATCGGAGATCTCATAAAAAGAGAAGTTACTTTTATAAAAAATGCCGAAGCACTTTTATCATCAATGATCGATTTGTTTTTATATGAATGATGCAGTTCATCATGAAAGTGCATCTGCGAATTGGTATATTTGCTTAATGTTTGTACTGCCTTCAACATCAATTCCCAAGTTATATTTATATCCAGACACATCAGTTGAATCAGTACATAGATTTTTTGGAAAAAATAGCTACATCTCTAGTGCTTAATTATACAGACAATATCTTCTTCAGTTTTTTTTGATTGTTTTTGTTTTAATACTTTCTTATCTCTGGAATTAAATTTTTATTCGCAGAATCATTTTTTTCTTTGGAGGACAAGAACCATAAGTTACAAATGAAATATTTACATTGCAAAAAGATGTTTTCTACGTCCTCAAGTTCATCTATTGAGTCTTTAGGGCTAATGATATCCCATGAGCAATTCTTCTCAAACGAACAAAATGGTGATTTATCTGAAAGATAAAATCATAAATAGGAGAAATATTCGTCATTATTATACTCTAATCTAGCTTTTGTTTTCGTAAGCAAGAGTGATATTGCAGTATTTCACTTAACTTAAAATTAAGCTGTTCTTAACATTAAAATCATATCATTTTTGAATACATATTCCATTTATTTAGCTTTGAAGTCACAAATTTTTTAATAAAACATTAATAATTTTTTTCGCACAACAGCTATAACGCGGTTTAAAAATTAATCCTGATTTTTTTAGTAGCACATACTCTTTATTGTTTTGCAGATGACTGAACCATTTTGTGTCAAAACGCAATGCGAAAAAAGACAACTTGTAAACTAAAACTTAAGTTATGAAACAAGATCGTTTGAACGGTAATATTTTAATTTACTTCAAAAAAATCATGCAACAAAATGATGTAATTGCCAGCTGGCATTTAGTAAAATCTATACATTGTAGGTGTTGAATTACAAGCTATTTACATATGGCTTATTTACGTATGGAATTTTGATATGGTGGTTGGCAATGTCTTGATGAAGCAATGAAATCAAAACATTATAAAAACAAAAGTCATTAATATTGCAACAAAGAAAGACTATCAAACAGATAATGAAACAATAAAGTAAGTAGCGAATCTAAAGAATATTTAGAAAAAATAATAAGAGAATGCAAAAAAGGAATACAAAGAAAGAATACAAAAAAAAATGCTACTAAGAATAGTTATTCATAACAAACAGATTGTTAACACAACTTTCTGTTTGTATAACCTAAACTTGAGTTTGCAAGAAGTCCTTTTTTAATTTTTAGGATAGTTTCTTATTAAACTCTATTAAATTGTCGTCAAGTGAAGCATGGTGATTTATTTAGCTTCATAGTCATGACGTTTTTTATACTATGGTCAGGCACTTTTTGTCATGGCTTCCTCATTTACAAAGTTTTCATTTGTAAAGCTTGTCAATCAGTCTCATTTAATATAATGCCAAAAATAACTTGCATGTACGAATACCGTTTCTTTCTTTAGAGCAATGTTTGTCAACCAACAAAAGATCATCAATAGCAATATCACCAATGGAACCAGGACCACAAACTCCTTCGACCATCAACTGAAAAACATTAACATATAGCAATGCTTATAGGTGGGATTAATGTGTTTAAGCAGAATGCATACTTAATTCTATATTTTTGCGCTTGCACAGTTTTGAGCACTCTTAGAATGTGTAGAGAGCCTCGTATTGAGACGTACACCACTTCGCGATATACAAAGCTCACCCTTAGGGGTGTGAGCATACTGGTGACTCTACGCACAATACAAACAAACATTCAGTAACCATTCATCGCGTGTACCAAGTGTAGCAGTCACCATTGCTCTATGGTGATTGCCACGTGGTCATATCGTCATAGACATTGCATATTAAACTTAATGCGCATACACAGTTTGAGCACTCTAGGTTTGTATAGAGAGCCTCATAATGAGACGTTCACCGTATGTGCTATATGCCGGGAGGGCACATTGTCAATAACGTTGTGGAAGGACACACTGTCACACACATTTTCATGACTTAAACATTTTTGATTCTACTGAAAGTAAAAGATTCATATTCGGCCAATCAATTCAAACCCAACTGCTTTGAGGGCGATTTCACGTTCTGCCATGTCTAAGGTCCTCGACTGTTATATGGGCAATAATTTACACACAATGAAGTCCTCTGGCTTTTGTCAAAAATTGCAAAAATTTCTTCTGAAACCATGGCTCACTTTTGCTCCACATTCATGTCATTAAGTGTTAGCAGAAATCGGGTATGAAAACTTAACACCTTCGACAACAATTAAACTACCATAATCATTTGCGAAGCAAATTCATGCATAACTTTGCCGAACTAATTAAATAAATGCAATTGACAATGAAATTGTATAATGAATTTCTTTATTCGCTCGACGGCGATAATCAATTTACGCTTGAAACACAATGAATGGCTGTCAGTATTTGCCAATCAGTGAACTCGAAGTTTTACAAAATTATTTTCAAACGGTAGACAACTAGCATTATAACGTCACATAACACGAAGCGCGTGTTGCATTTTGGTCTTAGTAGTCACTACAGAATAGATAATAAGCAGAAGTCTCACTCAGGGGTATATCGTGTGGCCAATTTTCAGCCAACTTACGGTGTGGCCACCATGTGGAAAGAAAACCGCCAGAGTTAATTATGCTGGAGTTTATATGAAGAAAAATGCATTGCCACAACTAAAACTGATGTAGCTGCTTGGATATTAGAAAGATTTCAATTTTACTTTTGATATTTTATAAAGTGAAGGTGTGCAATTGATTTAAATGTTGTGAAAATAAGAACGAACGAGTTTTAGCGCTGAATTCGGTCATCGTAAAGGGATGAATAGCTGAGTAAAAGGAGTTATTACTTGATCTTCACAAGCACTTTCTTATAATATTCATCTGTCGTTTTTGCAGATTCTTATTGCCACAAATGGTTAATTTCATGAATTTATTTCAGGAAGTTGAATCATCGGAATTTTGCCTGGCGTTCTATAATTTGTGTATAGTCATAAATAAATTGTGATAAATGTTATTTATAATATGCTTTACAAAATGTTCTTTGTGAAACGACGTTTTGTTGACAAGGTTTGAATATTTGTATTTGTACTAGTGAGAACTAATGAGATTCGAGAATGCTCTGTGGCTGGGCCATTCATGCCAGTTTGCAATTTTTTTTTCTCAAATTGTTATATGGTCTATTTTGAATAAGATTGAAGGTTTGACATTTTTCATGCCTGTTTTTCCACTATCAGGTTTTATAAATAGGGAAAGTGAGTTTACTGTTGTTCTTAGTAACGTTTGTGAGTCAAGAGGTACGAGTGCAAGTCCTTGTTCTTTTGAGAGATTTGCCCTGGTGTTTAGGACACTTCTATCTTAGAAAGTTAGAGAAAATCTAAGACAGAAGATGTATTGACAATAGAACGAAAAGTGGGTGCTGGTGGATTAAAATGCTGTGTCTCCTCGGTTTGCGTGACATTTAATGAAAAATCACTAATATCCTGAAAGTATGCTTTTATTTATAAATATATACTTACGTAGAAAGCGCGCGTTGAATTTACGTCAATATATGCCTTTTTCCACTTAGGAATGGAAATATTGTTAGTCCACATTAACTGAACATTGGTTCGATTCCACCACGACTTGTAAACATTTACTTCCCCAAGATCCGACCCAGTCATGTGATAGTAAAACGTAAAACAAAAACTTTTATTGGGTTCAAATGGTCCAGCTTCAATGACAGCTCTGTCTCCTTTAACTCTCGGCTCACTGGCTTCAATGTATATGTACCAGCCTATCAGAATAAAAAGTGCAACTTCTTACTACCGAATTATGAAGTAAAGATACAAAAGCCTATAAAAGAAGCACATTGACAACGGCCAATGACGCACATCAAGTTGTAAGGAATAATACTATGAGTTATTTATGGTTATTTAAAATATCCCGTCATGTTATACTTTTTTTTGTATATCTGCAGTTACCATTGTTCAAATTGGAACAATAGAAAAAAATGCATTTATAAAATTGAGAAAGGAAGAATGCTACAGAAGAATGAAAATATTCAAACAACAAGAGTTATATCTTAATAATTTAAAAATATACATTTAAAAGACTAAAAGGTGTTTTTCCTTTTTTTGAGTAGTTATCAAGTAATAAGGTATTTACAAAATACTTTTGTTTATGTTGTTTTAAAGGAGTTTAGCCATCAATTTTACCATAAGACAAACATTTGGCCACTTTCCCCCGTTTATGCTGCTTATACTCCATATCAGTAATATTAAAAATTATTCGTTCGTAAGTCAACATAAACTATTTTTGAACAATGGGTACATATAACTATATTTGTAACTGTTCTTGCAACTACGTAGTGTTACACACTATTTACTGCTTTTGTTGTTAGTCACATGACTCATTTTAAGTGCAACAATGCTAGTTATTGCTGATCAAAAAGACATCAAAATCAAAGTACACAGAGTGCCAGTAAAAGCCTTTATATTTTGTGCAAAACGTTAATCATCATCGAGAGCTCTTGCTCATGTAAATCATCAGATCTTTTGATCACTGTATTATGTAATTATTTGCCTTGGAAAACTGGTGAAAATTGGGGAAACTAATTGTGACCTTAGCGTTAAAAGAATCAAAATTTAAAAGTCAAATGTTGTCCAATGTAAAAATAGAAATTAAAGAAAAGTTGGGAAAAAATAATTTTATGTTTGAGCTATTTTTGTGTATTTTGCAATCTCAGATTAATGACCATAATCAGCTGATGTTTTTATGCAAGCGTATGTGATCATTAAATTATCATAGCGTAAGAGAAAGAAATATACGTTTAATAACTTAACAAAGTTAGAGGGCAATTACGGCACATTTAAAGAAGCCAGTTGCGTTGTCTAAAATTTCTTCAGCAATGACGCATTACTGCAGCCAGTTGCACTACATGACATTAGAGTGATTTAGCAAACACGACGTTTCGTCTAAGACGACGTGAAAGTTCTCCTTTAATTTTTGGTTCTTAATTCATTTCATAATATGAAAGAAATACAGGTAGTGCAGTTTAATAACTCTATAATTTTGGAAAAGTGTTAAGCTTCTAGCATTAAAGAACACAAAAGTACATGCACTTCATCATTCTTGTATAAACAACGCCATACTTAGAGGGAAAAATCCCATAGCAAATGGTATTAAATATGGGTATAAAATTTATTATTGAAATAAAAGCTTTATTAGTCAATCAAATTCTGAACTCACATGGCTAATAGGAAACGCATAAAAAAGAAAACAAGAATAGAAGTATTAAATACACAATTGTGTATTCATGTTTCAAGGATTATAAACATGATTGTAATTTAAGTGTTTTAATTATTTGCATTTTTGCCTTTTTTACAATCTTGACAAGTATTTGATGCAGTTCTTGTTCAAGACAAAAATCTCAAAGATTCTCATGATTTGTATGCAATATTTATATCATTATTAATTTACGAAACGCGAGATGCATGTTCCAAAAACAAATCCTACAATTGTTGCGAAAAAGGCCATCACATGAAAGAAAGCAAAAAACTAATGAGAATAAATGAGCTAACATTTCACTAGTGATCCGTTGAGATAAAATATGATATATTTTGTTTCGTGCAGACTACAAACTTTGATCGAGCAAATCATTAATCAGCAGTTACGAAGCGCACATCTGCATTCATATGTGGCCAACAAATAGCTCGTTTGTTAAAAAAGGCATCCGTCGTAGAAGCCAGGGGCGGATCTAGAGTATGTCAAATCCGTCGCGCGACTGATGTTTGAAATTCAAAAATTACCTATTCATATTAATTAAAAATTCATGAATTATTCTTACTTTAATATCGCATTTACTTCATGATGAAAATCCAGCTTTATTTATTATTGAAAACTAATGACTAATCCAATGAATATCTCCTTGGTAACCAGATCAGTTGAATTTTAATTGACCTGGAATAACCGACTGATAAGCGGGGTGGCTTGACTGGTTCGACATATAAAGGAGTCTATGAACGCCAGAAACGCTATTTTATTGGTCAATGTCCAGATCAGTGGACAGTCTGGAATAATCTCGACCGATAATAGGGGTGGCCAGACCTATAAGGGAGTCCAATTGCTATCTTACAAATGGCTCATTTGAATTTTTGTTTTATTGTGATTGTTTGACCGATTTCGACTGATAGCCTTCTGAGCTAACATAGTCAAGCGTGGTGTGTGGAATGCGAGATAGATCATCACGTTGTGATTCACTATAGCGTGGTTTGTAAAATCTGTTTCATTGCATTTATTTGGAAAATCGTTTACAAACTACAATGTTAAATATTGATATGTATGCTGCTGTTCAGACTGCAATTTCGCAAGAGAATGATAAATCTCTGAATGAATTAAAATTGCGTTTGAATGAGGAATATTGTGGGGCGACTAAAATGTCGAGAGAGGAATTCTTATCATTGCTTTTAAAAGACGAAATATCATTGAGCTGAGAGTTCTCAGCAGAAATTTACATCCCCAAAATCGTGCGTAAGCAACACGAGGACAAAGGAAATGTATGCATGGCTTTAAGGTATCCAAACCATTAATATCAATTTATGCGACTATGAGATGTGGTTTTTGTCTATTGACTGTTGTATAAATTTTAATGAAGCAGATTTCATTTTGTGCAGTGTATACTAAAGATCTACTGCTTGGGCTTTTAATTTTATTATAAATATTGGCATAAATTCAGCGAATAGTGAATTTATATTGGAACTTTGAATTATCTTCTACATGTAACTACGTTGCTATGTTACATATTTCCTGGCCAGTTAGTTAAATTTTTGTTGGAGGACTTATAAGAACATGACTTTTTTATTCAATTTAGATCAGAAGTATCTGGCAACTGTCTCTACAGTTCAGTGTCATTGCTTTTGGCAGGTGATAACAGTTTATTGCATATTTTGAGGCAGTTAACATCACTTGAGCTGTTTTTGAATGCTACTTTTTACTGCCAACATCCTTTATTTTCCTCAATTGTTGAACAGCATAAAGAATTCAACAACACCTCAAAGAATATTTTACCTTTGACAGTATCTCAAGACTGTCTAGATTCTGGTTTTGTAGGTGTTGATCTTGTTAAAAAGGAGGCCTTTTTGAATTGTCATGACCAAAAGTGGTCATCGTTTCTATGCATTTTAGCTCTTTCTTCTGTGTTGGAGACAAAAATTTTTACTTACTACCCAGATTGTGGAGAGAGAAGGCCTTAATCAATATTCAACTCTCTTGTTTGTCCAAAAAGAATAGTTAAAGAATCAGCCGATGCAATTCATCTTTTGTTTTGTTATAAAGGGATAGTTAAACCAGATCAATGTTTCCAACCTAATCATTTTGTTCCTCTAGTTTTTTTTCCTAGCAAAACTAAAAGGAAAATTTCTGGTCCAACATGCCCAGTGCCTTCAAAAAAAGCAAAAGCTGAAATAAAGTCTGGAAATATCAGTAAGTTTTTTTCAAAAATGGAAAAACCAGAAATCATTGCAAGTGAGGTTTCTTGTACTAGGGTTACTGAACAAACCATTGAAGATTTACAGGTAAAGCCTAACTTTATTTACAATTTTGATGTAGCTACCTACTACAAAAGAGCTAAAGGTTTGAAAATGTCTGATATTTGTTTGCTTATTAAAAATGTTTTTAAACCTGATGAAAATTGCACTTTTCCTCCTTTGAGTGAGAATAATAAAAGGCCTTTTAAATATGAATGGCTCAAAGATTTTACCTGGCTGTGTTATTCACCAAAAGAAGATGGTGCTTATTGCTTATCATGTGTTCTTTTTGGACATCAATTCCCCAGTAAATGCTCGAGAATAAACAATCTATTTCGTTCACCTTTTCGTCATTGGAATGATGCTGTAGGTACATTTAGGCGACATGCTGGAAATTGTAAGGGGGAAAAAATGGGACTACATGCATCTACTTCTCCAATTTTGAATGATATATGCTCTCAAATGTCAGGTGTAGCTCAACCCATTGAAAATATCTTAGATAATAACATAAAACTTCAAATTGAGCAAAATAGGAAAATTCTTAAACAAATTGTTGATATAGTTCTTTTTTGTGGAAGGCTTGGCATTGGATTACGAGGTCATCGTGACGATGCTCAATTTCACCCAGAGGTCGGTTGCTATTCAGTCAATGGCAATGTTGGTAATTTTGTTGAATCTTTAAATTTTAGAGTTAGAGCTGGTGATCAAACTTTGGAAAATCATTTGCTCAAATGTGGCAAGAATAAAAGTTATATTTCCAAGACCAGCCAAAACAAAATCATCAACTGTATTGTTCAGGTAATATCAGAAGATATTATAAACGAGATAAAAAAAATAGATATTATTCTATCATTGCAGATGAAGCTGCTGATTCTTCTCACAAAGAGCAATTGTCCCTTGTTCCACGGTTTGTTGACTCTTCAATGAATGTTAAAGAAGAGTTCATGTGCTTCCTGCATTGCAAATGGGGGTTGAGTGGTGAACAACTTTCAAAGCTTATTTTAGAAACTCTAGAGAAATTTGCCTTACCCATTATGGATTGCAGGGGACAAGGTTATGATGGTGCAGGGGCTGTTTCTGGGCATATAAATGGTTTAGCAGCCCACATTTTAAGAACTAATCCTAAAGCTCTTTACACTCACTGTTACAGTCATCGACTAAATTTGTCTGTCTGTGACACTCTTTCTAACGTTGAAATTAATAACATGTTATCTGTTGTTTCTCAAGCTGCCAATTTTATCAACATATCACAGACACGCAACATACCCTT